ACAGATGACAAAAGCGAGTTTAGCTGATTGTGAGGCATATATCAGTCGATACGAACCAAAGGATAGTGAAAATCCAGGCTATCTATCCATTAAAGGTTTATCTAACTATTTCTATGCGCTTTAAATTCTTGTAATTAATATAAGTTTTTTTTATGTTTAAAGGATTTTGCAATTTATTTAAATCAATAGATTTCAATATATTTAATAGAAGTCATAGAGTTGTCTGTGAAGTGATGTCTGAACCACTTTCAGACTATTATATCGCCTCTTCTTATAATACGTATAAAAATATTGAATTTTCGTTAAATATTTTGACTAAATTTGATTTAATATTTTCTAAAGCATTCAAATGACGGGTGAAAGTAGGGTTGAGTCATATCAGTCGGCACTGACCAGAGGCTGTCGTTGTATTGATCTCGAAGTTATAGATGGAGATAATGGAGAACCTATTGTTTGCCACGGATTGAGTGCAACGATTCTGTTAAGAGATGTTCTCCAGACTATTCAGAAGTATGCGTTTAAAACAACTCAATATCCTTTGATCCTATCGATGGAAATTCACTGCTCTTTTGAACAACAAATAGTGATCGCATCCCTTATAAGGCAGATATTGAAAGGTTTATCAATAAACAAAAGTAAAAATCAATTTAAACTAATGATAGTTTCGTTAAACAGATTACTTATACGACGGCGTTGTGGACAACAACAAGAGTCACTTGCCTTCGCCCGAAACTTTGGTCCGAAAAATATTAATTCAAAGCAAAAAATTGCCTAAAATTAAAACTAAGAAATTAAGTAAACTAAAGAAGTCACTGGAATTGGACGCTATCAACGAATCTGAATCACAACCCGAAGACACCGACGAAGAGGAAGAGGATGGATATGATTCAGACAATGATATCAGTGATAATGATCTCAAAGACGACACCATTGATGGAAATATTGGGACTAAAAGTATTAAGTTTACTGAAGACCAGAATAAGGAAGTGATGAAGAATACAGAGAATTTGAATTCTGTTAAAAAGCACAACAATAATAACAATATGAACAGAAGTAATACATTTCCGTCTAATAACAAAAAAGATCACCGAAAGAATATTAGGACAGACCCGGATCAGCTCAATGGTGATCATCATCCCCTGGGTATGACTTCATCTGTACCCTACAAACCAACACCCGTTGAAATTAATGCATCTAAAAAAGTAATTAGTATTTTATTATCTTATTATCATTTGAATGAGAGTTTAAATACAACTAAATTTTAACAAATTTTAGCACAAATTGGCAAAAGAATTGTCAGATTTGGTCACTTATTGTGTGGCAAAAAAGTTTCAAAATTTCGACGATTGTCTAAATGAAAGGAAATGTAATAATTTTGACAATAAGATCATATCATAACTTATTTATAAAAACCTTTATTTTAAAATTAGGGAAATATTACGAAATGATATCATTAGAAGAGGAAAAGTCTGAAACATTTAGCAAAACCAAACCCGATGACCAAAAATACGTCAAATTTACCAAAAAGCATTTGGTCCGCACTTACCCTAAGGGCGACTTAACTAATTATAACCCAATATCGCACTGGAATATGGGCTCACAATTGGTGGCACTTAACTACCAGATCACTGACAAACCAATGCTTTTCAACGAAGCCCTGTTTGCAATGAATGGCAAATGCGGTTACGTTTTGAAATCTGATTATCTTAGAAAAGGCAAAGAGTATGGTATGAGTGGCCGGAGTTCCGTAATCAATGCTCCGACCAGTAAAATAAAAAAAGTATGGATAAAGATTATAAGCGGACAACACATTCCCAAACCGGGAAATTCATTGGACGGCGAGATTGTGGACCCGTATGTGGAGCTCCGTGTGTACGGACATCCGGCCGACTCTAAAACTGAGTTCAAGACATCTCCCGTCAAGAATAACGGTATAAATCGATGATTAAGTCTGAGTTTGCAACCAATAAATTTTTAATATATTATATTTACGAAACATAATTAGGTTTTAATCCCATTTGGGAGGAATCAACTGAATTCATAATCCGATTGCCGGATATGGCGTTCATATACTTTGCGGTTAGAGATAATTTAACGACAGATAGTGATGTAATTCTAGGCCAATATATGCTCGCATTCCCGGCTATTATGGAAGGTATTAATTAATCAATAAAATTGCAATTTAATTAAATTATCAACATTTGTCTGCATATAAGGCTATCGTACCGTCAATTTGGTGGACAGCGATAATCGGTCCTTAAGTCCGGCCTCTCTTTTAGTACACATCACTTTCAAAGATGTCGGCGATTACTGGAGTCCTGAATAGATATTATCTAAATATCAGTTACTGTATATTCGTTGGACATTGTATTCAATTATTTTTAATGAACCAAATTGTAATTTCAAATAGTTAATTTTATAATCTTTTGAAAAAACATTTAAAAATTCAATTACTATTAAACAAATTCTTGACAATTTTTGAAAATAAATTCATTTACTTAATGATATTAGTTTAATATTCTGGACATTAAAACCAAATTAATATCTTTTACTAAACTATTTAGTTGATCCTTAATAGTGTTTGTTTTATTACCGTATATTAAATAAATAAATTTTTCATACAGTTTGAAACTTAAAAAGCTACATACAACATGTAAAACATAAAAAACACATGATAAAATTGATTTATAAGAATTCACATCACAAATAGATTACATAATTATTTATGAAATAAAAATTATCATTTATTGCTGATATTGAAATTTGTTCAATCATTGTAATTAGTAACTCAATTTGTTTATAAAATGCAATTACATTACAATTGCAATTTGATGATGTAATTGGATGTGCTAATGTTAGGTAATTATCTTATTTAATTAAACTTTTGTATTTAGAAAATCCCTATTTTATTTATATGTGATTTTATATTAATAGTAAAAGTAAAGCAAATTATTATTTAATGTTTACACAGTATAACAATATTATCATTAAATCACTAAATATGTGAATACAAAAGTCAATGGAGGAAGTAATAAATGCCTAAAATGTAGATCATTGCTAAAAAATCATATAATGTAACTTTTAATTATAAATTGAAATTAATAAAATCATTTCCATTATACTGTGTACTGTATTTCGTAAATCATTGAATGATATTTACAACTCATAACCGTTGCCTTAGTTTATATCAAAGTATTTATAACACTTATGATAAAAAGACAATAAGTTATTGTCATTAATAGGTCTGTAATGATTTTGCGATTAAATAATCTCTTAACTCTATTTTTCATCGATTTTTGCACCACTTTTTCATTACTCACTTCATTTCATACGCCAGACAACAGAACTTTCAATGTTTTATGTAATCATTGAAATTATATACAGTATTTGATTTGAATTGATGTATCATTTATATAAATATCATTTACATTAACTCTGATATCATTTCCCAGTTTTAGTTATCAAAAATATAAACATTTAAATTGTTGTGCTATTATGTCAATATTTATTAATTGATCTTGTTTGTAATTTTACCATGGTTTAAAAGTTAATTTATTTGCATAAAGTTTTGCATAAAGTAATCATCAAGGTGTTCCTCGTTGGTTAGTAATACCATATAATTTATATCCAATTATCCAAATTATTTAAATAAAAGTATGCAGACATTAAATTTGTTTTTTAATCAATGTAATTTAATAACAACAACATTTATAAAATATCATAAAGTTTTTCAACATTTTTGAGTATCAATAAGTCTACACCATGGTGTATACCATTTTCATTATGTTATCAAAATATAATTTTTAAATAAAAGTTAGGAATATATTTATCAGTAATATTAAAAACAAACCAAAAATAAAATTAGTATTAATTTCTTTAATAGAAGAGTCTATACGAAGACATTAAAACATTACTTAATAAAGTTTGAAAGCAAAGAATAATTTAAAAGCTAAATCAAATGGAAAGCAAACAGACGGAGAAACTACTTAAAGAAGACGGAGAGAAAGTGGTGCCAAACATTGATATACCCGACGGTCAGTATTTGTACAGTAATACAGTAATCACATACATTAAATTAATATGTGATACTAATTGTCCGCAACTCTAATCACAGCCACTGCTAACAGGAAGAGTCGATTGAAGCCTAAAAGTCCTAAAAATGTTAAAAGTTTTCGATATATTTTCAACGGTATGTTTGAAGTAATCTAAAGAATTGACAATAATTTGATACATGTTTTGTGCGATTAAATGAAGATAACGTTCCCAATGAAGAAGTGATCTCGAAGTTGAATGAGAAGACATGTTTCCATAAGGTTAGGTCATTGGATAAACTGATTCGCCGTAAATATCACATCGATTTGGAGACAATGCAACTCCATTACGATTCAAACATTAAACGTTATCTATGCAAAGGAATCCCTTCTTGTAAGCAATGATATCATTATTTAATTGATCACATTTCTAAACCATTGCTACAAATGGTTTAATGCCAATTGTGTGTAAATGTCTTATAAGCTGTCCATTTATAATGTTAATCTAATATTTTAATAACCTAATAAGGTATAATAACATTTATACAGTATTATCTATGATGCTATGAACTATAATTAGAGGTAGATGCAAACTTATCAGTAAATTATCTTTACAATTATCCAATAATGTAGTAATTAATAGCAGTAAATATATTATAATTAGTAATTATTTAATGAGATAATGACCTGGAAATTATATTAAGTATTTTTTAGACTAATTAATAAACAATTTTGGTTTTAATTCTATACTTCAGATGATTTATACGATCTCTCGGAAGTGCGAAAGGGTTGGCAATCGGATCGCTTTAATGTGATTGAAGCCAAGTTTAGGCGCGAACTGAACGCATCCGACGGACCAAAGAATTTGCCACAACTCGAAGAAGACAAATGCTTTTCATTAGTTTTTGGCATCAAAACCGAGGACTTAGTGGCGCCTAATGTCGAGACACGCGATGTGTGGGTAAAGGGATTGAAGTATTTGATCGCCAGTTATAAAGACCAACTCATTAATGACGAACAATCGGTGTATGATTTGTCGCATAACTCAGTTCACTAAACATTGTTTTCTAATTGGTATTGATTTGTATTATTGACTGATTGTCTGACAGTTGGCTGGAGAAGCAGTTCCGAGAGGCGGACAAGAATAAGAACAAAAGTCTGAGTTTCAAAGAAGTGGTTTCTCTTTTGAATCGAATTAATATATCTTTAAGTGACAAAAACGCAAAACAGTTCTTCAAAGCAAGTTTTTTGACATTGATTAAAATTTTAAATAAATGTATTGAATAAATAAATTATTGCTAACTAATTGAATGCAATGTACAGATGGCTCACACCAAACATAAAATGAATAGAAGAGATTTGACAGGAGATCCCACACTAGACTGGGAAGAGTTCCTTAAATTTTATCAATTGATTAATATAAGACCAGCGTTGGATCGTCTCTTCAAAAAGTATATCAATTTAGTGCAAAGATATAAAGTTTAAATTAAACCAATTCTTACCAATAATTTATAAATTTATTTCAGATATTCAGTAAACAACACGTCTTTCATGGGTCCCGAAGAACTCAAAGAATTTTTAATCACACAACAGAAGGTAAATATAATTTTTTAATTAAATAAAAATTAACCAAATATTGTCAAAACAGATGACAAAAGTGACTTTAGCTGATTGTGAGGCATATATTAGTCGATACGAACCAAAGGAAAGTGAATATCCAGGCTATCTAACAATTAAAGGTCTCTTCATTTGCTGAGTCCTATGCTTTAAATTTTTGTAATTAACACTAATTTTCTTTCGTTTTAAAGGATTTTGCAATTTATTTAAATCCATTGATTTCGATATATTTAACAAAAGTCATCGCGTCGTCTGTGAAGATATGTCTAAACCTCTGTCCGACTATTATATTGCCACATCTCATAATACGTACAATTAATATAATTAACTTAAATGTAATTTATATCTCATTTTGTCATTTGTATAGTTATTTAATGAAAGATCAGTTGACGGGCAGCAGTAGTATAGAAGCGTATCGATTGGCGTTGATTAGAGGCTGTCGTTGTCTTGAGCTCGATGTCTGGGACGGCGACGATGGAGAGCCCATTATATACCACGGATACACTTTGACCTCAAAGATACTGTTAAGAGATGTGCTGAAGACTATACATAAGTATGCATTCAAAATGAGTCCATACCCTCTCATCCTATCGATGGAAAACCACTGCTCTATTGAACAACAAGTAGTGATGGCATCGCTTATGAAAGAGATATTAAATGGTTTTTAACAATACATTTTTCGTAATTTATTTGATTAAATAAACTATTGATTTGTTAAACAGAATATCTATACGACGGTATTGTAGACGAGAGTGCGGGTCAATTGCCTTCACCCGAGGATTTGGTCCATAAAATATAGCTGAGTCCTATGCTTTAAATTTTTGTAATTAACACTAATTTTCTTTCGTTTTAAAGGATTTTGCAATTTATTTAAATCCATTGATTTCGATATATTTAACAAAAGTCATCGCGTCGTCTGTGAAGACATGTCTAAACCTCTGTCCGACTATTATATCGCCTCATCTCATAATACGTACAATTAATACAATTAACTTATATGTAATTTATATCTAATTTTGTCATTTGTATAGTTATTTAATGAAAGATCAGTTGACGGGCAGCAGTAGTATAGAAGCGTATCGGTTGGCGTTGATTAGAGGCTGTCGTTGTCTTGAACTCGATGTCTGGGACGGCGACGATGGAGAGCCCATTATATACCACGGATACACTTTGACCTCAAAGATACTGTTAAGAGATGTGCTGAAGACTATACATAAATATGCATTCAAAATGAGTCCATACCCTCTCATCCTATCGATGGAAAACCACTGCTCTATTGAACAACAAGTAGTGATGGCATCGCTTATGACAGAGATATTGAATGGTATTTAACGATACATTTTTCGTAATTTATTTGATTAAATAAACTATTGATTTGTTAAACAGAATATCTATACGACGGTATTGTAGACGAGAGTGCGGGTCAATTGCCTTCACCCGAGGATTTGGTCCATAAAATATTAATTAAAGGCAAAAAGTTGCCAAAAATAAAGCCAAAAAAATTGATTAAATTAAGGAATGCATTGAATTTGGACGCAATCAATGAATCTAAATCTGAAGAAGAGGAGAACGAAGAAGAGGAGGAAGAAGAAGACGGATACGATTCAGACGATGATATGAGTGAATATGAACTCAACGAAGAGTCCACTCATGAAAATATTAACTCTAAGATTACTGAAAACCAGAATAACGAAGAGATTAAGAATACAGAGGATGAGAATTCAGATATAAAAGACACTAACATTACGAACAGAAGTGAAATTAAAGAGAAGTCTTCCGATGGAAATGATATTAAGATCACAGAGAAGAACGTTATGCAAGATATTAATAATACAGAAATTAAGAATTCAAATGACAGAATTCTAAACAAGAGAAATACATATCCGATCACTAATAAAAATGATTACCAGAAGAATGTGAGAATAGCTCCGGAACCACTCAATGGTGACCACCAACCTCTAGGTGTGACCTGTTCTGTCCCGCAGACCAGACATCACAGACCGACACCCGAAGAAATTAATGTATCCAAAAAAGTATTTATTATTTTATTCTTGTTTTGTAGAAATAAATAAACATTTTAATACAAATAAATTCTAGCACAAATTAGCGAAAGAATTCTCAGATGTAGTCACGTATTGTGCGGCGAAAAAGTTTCAAACTTTTGATGACTGTTTGAACGAAACAAAATGTAATAATTGTAACAATAAGAACATATTATAACTTATTTATAGAATCTTTTACTTTAAAATTAGGGAAATATTACGAAATGATATCATTAGAAGAGACAAAGTCCGAGGGTTTCGCCAAAGCCAATGACGAAAAGTATGTGAAATTTACTAAAAACCATTTGGTGCGGACGTACCCGAAGGGCACCCGAACCGCCTCCAGTAACTATAACCCTATCCCCCATTGGATTATGGGCTCACAATTGGTGGCACTTAACTATCAGACGCCCGACAAACCAATGCTCCTCAACGAAGCCCTGTTCGCAATGAATGGCAAATGCGGTTACGTTTTGAAATCAGATTATCTCAGGAAAGGCCAATTGAACGATACGAATGACCGCAGTTTGACCACAAATGCCGGCAAAATAAAAAGTTTATCCATAAAACTTTTAAGCGGTCAACACATTCCCAAACCGGGCAATTCACAGGACGGGGAGGTTGTGGACCCGTATGTGAAGTTTCGTGTGTACGGACACCCGTTGGACAACAATTGGAAGTCCACAACAGCTCCCGTCAAAAATAATGGTAATAATTGATTCAATCGCTGGTTTGTGAGCATTCATGTCATTATGCAATACGAATGCATATTCCTGTAATTAGGTTTTAATCCTGTGTGGAATGAGTCGCCCATTGAGTTCATAATAAGATGCCCTGAAATGGCGTTCATATACATCGCGGTTAAAGATCACTCGGCGACCGGAAAGGATGTACTTCTCGGCCAATATATGCTCGCATTCCCGGCTATTATGGAAGGTATAAACGAACCAATCATTCAATATAATCGCTATTAAATAACTATTTCTATTCATAAGGCTATCGTACCATATATTTGGTGGACAGCGATCATCAGTCCTTAAGTCCGGCCTCTCTTTTAGTGCACATCGCTATCAAAGATGCGGCGAATGAATCGATTCCTGAATAGATATCATCTAAATATAAGATACATGTATATGTAAAGGTATAATAAGCCTTATGCCCGAACCCCCGGACTCCCAGTCCAAACCTAACCCGTGGCCCACCAGTGCCCACATATAATGCCCAAACCATAGCCCACTCCATAGTCCACAGTATAGTCCACAGTATAGTCCACAGTATAGTCCACACATTCGTTGGAGTCCAACGGTTGGACACAGTATTCAATTATTGATTATTTTCAATCAAACCAAAGTGTGATTTCAAATTATTTGTTTATTTTTTTCAGAATCTTTATAACAAAAATCATTTAAACAAGTTTTCGATTAGTATTTAATGAATATTTAATTAAAATATAATTTATTTTTTAGCGAAGAATGAACTGATAGACAATTGTTTGCCTTTTGAGCCCGAATTGGGTTTCGCTGTCTTTGACGTATTTTCGGGCGTTTTCTTCGCTTTGCTTTCACTCTTCGGCTCTGATTTCGGTTCGCCTTTACTTTTACTCTTTCGTCCGTTTGTTTCATCCGTTTTTGTGGGACTCTTTCGGCTCTTTTTGGTCGACGACTCTTTCGGTTCGGCTTTAATATCACTTTTGGACGACTTTCGTGGCGATCGTCTCACCTCTGCCTCCTCTTTGGGCAAACTCTTGACCACAGTTTTAGTCGGAGTTTTCAATTCTTTTTTAGTGACAGCCTTTTGCGGACTCTTTGCCGGAGATTTTGAGTTTCCGTTCGTTTGTTCGCTCTTTTTCTCGCTTTTAATCTCTTTTTTGGGCGACTTTTTCGCCGGTTTTTTAGGCGAAACTATTGGCTCAGATTTGGGCTCATTTTTAGGCACTTTTGGTTTCGTCTCTTTCTTGGGTTTCTTTTTCTCTTCCATTTCTATTTCCGATTTCTTTGTTTTATTAGTTTTCGCTTTACTTTTGGTCTCCTTTTCGACACTTTTTTTGGTGGTCTTCTTCTTAGCCTTAATCATAGCGTCGGCTGAGATGTCGTCCTCTTCTTCGCCATTATCTTCAGTATCGGTACCGACGGCTCCGTCTTCGCCCTCCATCTCGCCGTCAATCATATCGACAGCACTCTTGCCTTTCTTACCCTTCGTAACGGTTCCCAAAGAGTACGGCAAACAAAAGCTCTCCTTATTGTAAGCGCGGGTTAGGGCGGCCTTCACTTTGCTGTCCACACGACTCATCGGATCCTTTTGATGGCTCCAAACGGTTAACTCGAGTATCGATTCGAGATCTTCGCGTCGGAGGCAGTAGTTCTCGAGTTTCTCAATACTGTTGGGCACACCTCCCGTCCCATTGGCCACCAATGGCTCGATTATAGAGTCCCTCAAAAACAAGAGAAATACATATCCGATCACTAATAAAAATGATTACCAGAAGAATGTGAGAATAGCTCCGGAACCACTCAATGGTGACCACCAACCTCTAGGTGTGACCTGTTCTGTCCCGCAGACCAGACCCCACAGACCGACACCCGAAGAAATTAATGTATCCAAAAAAGTATTTATTATTTTATTCTTGTTTTGTAGAAATAAATAAACATTTTACAAATAAATTATAGCACAAATTAGCGAAAGAATTCTCAGATGTGGTCACGTATTGTGCGGCGAAAAAGTTTCAAACTTTTGATGACTGTTTGAACGAAACAAAATGTAATAATTGTGACAATAAGAACATACCATAACTTATTTATATAATCTTTTGCATTAAAATTAGGGAAATATTACGAAATGATATCATTAGAAGAGACAAAGTCCGAGTATTTCGCCAAAACCAATCCGTATGACCAAAAGTATGTGGAATTTACTAAAAACCATTTGGTGCGGACGTACCCGAAGGGCACCCGAACCGGCTCCAGTAACTATAACCCTATCTCCCATTGGATTATGGGCTCACAATTGGTGGCACTTAACTATCAGACGCCCGACAAACCAATGCTCCTCAACGAAGCCCTCTTCTCAATGAATGGCAAATGCGGTTACGTTTTGAAATCAGATTATCTTAGAAAAGGCCAATTGAACGATACGAATGACCGCAGTTTGACCACAAATGCCGGCAAAATAAAAAGTTTATCCATAAAACTTATAAGCGGTCAACACATTCCCAAACCGGGCAATTCACAGGACGGGGAGGTTGTGGACCCGTATGTGAAGTTTCGTGTGTACGGACACCCGTTGGACAACAATTGGAAGTCCACGACATCTCCCGTCAAAAATAACGGTAATAATTGATTCAATTTGATGCCGGTTTGTGAGCATTCATTTCCTGTTGCGTAACGAATACACTTAATTAGGTTTTAATCCCGTGTGGAATGAGTCGCCCATTGAGTTCATAATAAGATGCCCTGAAATGGCGTTCATATACATCGCGGTTAGAGATCACTCGGCGACCGGAAAGGATGCACTTCTCGGCCAATATATGCTCGCATTTCCGGCTATTATGGAAGGTATAAACGAAGCAATCATTCAATATAATCGATATTAAATAACTATTTATATTTATAAGGCTATCGTACCATATATTTGGTGGACAGCGATCAACAGTCCTTAAGTCCGGCCTCTCTTTTAGTGCACATCGCTATCAAAGATGCGGCGAATGAATCGATTCCGGAATAGATATGTAAAGTGTTTTGATTTGGTGGTGTATTAAACTTTAATTATACACTGGATTTAGTGGTGAAATGAGTGGTGCAGTCGTGGACTATGGTGTGGACTAGGAGTCAGGGGGTGTTTGGGTGTAGGGCTTACTATACATTTACAGATATAATCTAAATATAAGATACATTCGTTGGACACAGTATTCATTGTTGATTATTTTCAATCAAACCAAAGTGTGATTTCAAATTATTTGTTTATTTTTAAGAATCTTTATAACAAAATCATTTAAACAAGTTTTCGATTAGTATTTAATGAATAATCAATAAAAATATAATTTATTTTTTAGTGAAGAACGAACTGATAGACAATTGTTTGCCTTTTGAGCCCGAATTGGGTTTCGCTGTCTTTGACGTATTTTCGGGAGTTTTCTTCGTTTTGCTTTCACTCTTCGGCTCTGATTTCGGTTCGCTTTTACTTTTACTCTTTCGTCCGTTTGTTTCATCCGTTTTTGTGGGACTCTTTCGACTCTTTTTGGTCGACGACTCTTTCGGTTCGGCTTTAATATCACTTTTGGACGACTTTCGCGGCGATCGTCTCACCTCTGCCTCCTCTTTGGGCAAACTCTTGACCACAGTTTTAGTCGGAGTTTTCGCTTCTTTTTTAGTGACAGCCTTTTGCGGAGTCTTTGCCGGAGATTTTGAGTTTCCGTTCGTTTGTTCGCTCTTTTTCTCACATTTTATCTCTTTTTTGGGCGACTTTTTCGCCGGTTTTTTAGGCGAAACTATTGGCTCAGATTTGGGCTCATTTTTAGGCACTTTTGGTTTCGTCTCTTTCTTGGGTTTCTTTTTCTCTTCCATTTCTATTT